ATAAATCTTTAAAATATATATATATATATATATATATAAACTCATGCCATTTGTAGCAACATGATGGAACTGAAGGGATTAAGTAAAAATAAGTCAGAGGGACACAAATAAATACTTTATGGTGTCACCTACATGTGGATTATAGATTAAACTAACAAAGGGTCAAAGGTAAATTTTAAACCAACCCTTGAAAAGTGACTGTGGCTTAGACTTTCTGATGGAGAGTGGTAAAAAAAAAAAGATGAATGGGAGAGGTGCACAAGACTATAATGGGGGACTACGAGAGCTTTGGTGGAGGGTGGGTTATATAACAAGTTGTCAAAATAGTAGCAAGGATGTGTAATAATTGAACTTTAATAACAGTAATATAAAAATACCAAGTTAGCCACCACTAACATCTATTTAGCCACCACTAATATCTATTTCTACTTCATGTTTAAAAATCAAGTTCAGAAATCTGAAACACTGTATACTGGATGAATTCTTTTGTGATCATAACATAAAATGCAATAGAATTCTTTATGTCTATGCTTTACTATAGCACTCAATATCCAACAGCCCTCGGGCTGGATAGACTCTAACCTGAGACTGATGGGAGAAGTAGTTGATAACACACCAAGCTGCCATTTTCCTGTGGTCATGAGTACTGCACATGGGAAAGCCATCTACTGAGCTGACAGTGTTAAGGTACACATGAAAGCAGGTAAGAAAAGGACAACTATAGAAGGTGATTCAATTCCTTCAACACTACTTGATTTGGATTTTCATTGCTTGAACTTTACCTCAACTTCCCCTCATAAAGGGCAGAGCGCAGCAGCCCATGTGAGTTCAGCAGACTATAGTGCTACAATCTGGGTAAAAATAGCTTTTTATATTTTCTGATACTTTCACATCCAGATAACTATTTTTCTTTCTCTGTAAATCTGAAAAGATTGAACAAGAATATTTAGCAGATGAGTACAGGGGACAGAAAAACCAGGAGTGAATTTTTAATCAAGAAGTAGACAGATAAATTAATTCACAAAGACTCTCCTTTTTTCTTTCCTATATTCAAAGAAGGGAAGAGGCTGTGTTTTCATGTCAGAATCATCTTTTTCTTTCTTTCTTTCTTTCTTTTTTTTCATTTATTGTCTTATATTTACTTAATTCAAATCCAAAGGTGGACACAGGCAGTAAAAATTGATTTCTTTCAGAACCTATAGTACACTGGTTTTGTAATCATGATTTCTTGGCAGATAAACCATCTGTATTTTAGTTATGAGGAATGTAATTTATCAAGAAATTAAGTCACCTAATCTTATGACTTAAAACAATTGAAGAATGGAATTTAAACTTTTTTTTTTTTAAGATTTATTTGTGCATACAGAACTGGGGTACAGGCCAGAGGATGAGGGGCGGCGAGAGGCTTCACCAGAGACAGAATGGGGAGCAGAACAGGCAGATAGACGAAGTACACTGCTGAGGGGAGCAGCAGGAGGGTCAGGAGAGGTCTGCCATGCCATGTGGATCTCCTCTGGGGCAGGCAGGAGTCGAACTCATGCGGCTTTTAGCTTCTTAATGTTGTGCTTTAACCTGCTGTGCTTTAACCTGCTGTGTCACCAGGGAGGCCCCGGAATTTAAACTTTTTAAAAGCCCAGGCTACTTCTATAATTACATTCCCTCAATTTTAGGATTATTGATGGTTTCCTTATTTTAGAATTGCTATTACAATATTCTTTAGCAAACCTCACATGCAAGATCTATACCTATTTATCAACCCATTACATTAGAGAGGGTAAGTTGGAAGAGAAAGAAGTGACTATAGATAAATTAAGTCTGTCTTTTTCTTTCTTTCTTTCTTTTTTTAGATTTATTTATTTATACAGAACCAGGGTACAGGCCAGAGATGTGGAGGGTGAGAGGATTCACCAGAGACAGAGTGGGGAGCAGAACAGGCAGATAGACGAAGTACACTGCTGAGGGGAGCAGCGGGCGGGTCAGGAGAGGTCTGCCAGGCCATGTGGATCTCCTCCGGGGCAGGCGGAAATCAAACTCATGCAGAAGTGGCTTAAGCTTCTTAGTGCTGTGCTTTAACCTGCTGCGCCATCAGGGAGGACCCTAAGTCTGTCATTTTTTATTTATACTATTTTGCTTAATTTTATTTTTTTTCCTTCAACTTTCCTGTTTTAATTTTAGCATTAGTGAATAAGGACAGTTGCATTTATTGTTTCAAGGTTATTTTACAGAATTAAAAACTCTGGAGGGAAGGACATTTGATTAGGAAAAAAATCAAAAAACAATGATTTGTATCACTTAGCATACTATTAGTTTTTAATTTAGATTAAAATGTGATAACTTTATGTTTAAATGTAATTGTGTTTCCTATTTTAAATCAGGCAACACCATAATTTCCATAAATTCATTTTCTCACAGACTTAAGTCATCTCATTATTTCTCTTAGCATTCTCTTTTTCACTACTCTCTTGATGTCATCAACAGTACAATCATGAAAACATAGTTTTAAAAATTTCATTCTAAATCTCTAATCTCCCCTAGAGAACAAAATGTAATTTTTTTTTGTATGTGCTTGTTGGCTTAGGATGCCAAGTCAAAGGTATTTTAAAACCCAAAGTTATCTAATTAAATTCATCATTTTAACTAAATAAAACATACTAAAAAACATTCTTATATGGGACTAAAATAGAAAATCATAAATTTAGTTGGATTCATTATAAACTTTTTCTTCTTAATTTTTTAAAAATATTTTAATTGTAATGATTGGAATATATGACTAAATCTCTTGGGCAAATATAAATTTCACCCCATACATTCATAATGGTCACTCAGCTATTCTGAGTGACTAACTGATCAAGATAGGTAGCTTAATTGTGAGGACAACATTGACTATCCAAATCAAAATATGAGTACAGCTATAGAATTGTTAGTTTAGTTGATTCAAGGCTACACATTTTATTTTCAGAAATCTGTGTTGATTTTTTCCCCCCTGATGGATTTAAGGTACTTGTAAAATATAGATCAGGTTTGATGATAACAGGAATGAATGAAGGATAAATGCTAAGTAGAGGAAATATTAGCAATGTACTAAAAAATTTCTGGTTCTCAGAAAAAGGCCCATGAGGTAAATAAAACAAGCAGCATACCACAAAGATTCCCTTCATCAGATCCATCAGGACAGTCCCTTTTCCCATTGCAGAGTTTCTCTGGCTGCAGGCAGACTGATGTATCATTAGCACAAGGATACTTGGGTGGTCCACACAAGAAACTCTCACAGTCATCTTCATCAGATTGATCTTCACAATCGATATCCCCATCACACACCCATGCCTTGTTGATGCATCTCCCTAAGAAAGTAGAAATAGCAAGTATTTGATTTTTGAAATTAAGTTTGTGAATTAATGAATAACTATTATTATCATCAACGAGAAACACAGCATTTTTTAAGAAATCTATATGCTGATAGTTTGACAGTTTAATTTTACAACAATTGTGTTCTTGCCTGGTAATGGTTATTATTATTATTTTAGTTTCAAGTTACTGTCCTAACCTTTTATAAAATATTCTGTGGATTGAAATTTAAATTATAGTATTCTTAAAAGCAAACAGTTTTTTATATACAGTTGTATATCAGTGTTGTTTGGAGTCTAAGTGTAGGTAAGGGATGATTTTTTTCAGAATCTTAATTTTTATAAATGCTTTATTTTAGCAGGAATTACCCCTATTTACCTTTATAACCTCAACACCTCAACTCCTCACACAAGACATATGTGCACAAATTTTCATAAGTGCATATAAAATGCTGTTAAGCATTTTGGTAGATAACATACTAACAGAATTTATAGAAATGTGCTTATGCTTATAGACACTGACAGAAGAAAATAACTATGTTTTAGCTAGCATGTTTCAAAAATAATAATGTGAAATGCAAAAAGAAAAATATCATTGTCATCTATGTGAATTATTTATTTGGATTTTTCTTATTTTCAGATTGTTTGCATTTTTCTTCTAAGTAATTATTTTTCCAGAATATAAAATGCTAAGACATAATGTGAATAAGTAATAAGCCTAAGAATAAATACCTGTTACTGACTGACTATATCACTATGTCATAAAATGTTTGGGGTAAGAAAGAGAAAGTGAGAATTTTTGATTATATATGTTCAAGAGTCATTATGTCTTTAATGTCTTTAACTATCAAGGCAACTAAATAATAAAATAATGAAAATATTGGTGAAAATACTTAACTGTTATGAATATATTCATAATTGTTCATAATATTATGTTAAAAATGAAAACAAATAATCAGTTCCCAAGCTTACATAAGTATATTAAATAATATGCTACATTAGTAATTTATCAAAATTACTATTTTATAGTACTAATTATTAATTTATATTACTAATTTATATTGTTCTTGGAAATACTACCTAGTATAATTAGAACATAAAAAGAAACAAGTTTTACAATTGGAAAAGAGCACTAGTACATACATTCAATGTAATCATTTATTTATAAATTGATAAAAAACTAAATAAGAACTATAAGAAACTAAGAATACAAAAACAGGCAGTTAGTTTCAAATGTTATACAAAAATCAATATATTTGTTATACTGTCAGAGTACAGTAGAAGAAAAGAAAAATGAATACTTATACCATAAAATAAAGCATTAGACATGAAATGGAAAGACATCCCCTGCTCCAGATTGGGAGAATTAACATCATCAAAATGGCCATCCTACCAAAAGGGATATACAGATTTAACACCATACCAATAAACGTCTCAATGACATTCTTCAAAGAAATAGAAAAAAATATCGATGAGATTCATATGGAACAACACAAAATCTCAAATAGCTAAAATTCTCATGACAAGAAAGAGAATAGAGGCATTACAATCCCAAACTTTAGGCTCTACTACAAAGCCATAATAATCAAACTGCATGGTACTGAAACAAGAACAGACATACTGACCAGTGGATTCAGATAGAAAATCCAAATGTAAACCCACAGGTTTATGGGCACCTAATCTTTGACAAAGGAGCAAAGAAGATACAATGGAACAAAGAAAATTTGTAAAGCAAGTGGTGCTGGGAAAACTGGTAAGCTACATGCGAAACTAGATCACTATCTCACACCATACACAAAAATCAACTCGAAGTGCATTAAAGACCTAGACATAAGAATAGAAACTATAAAATATCTGAAAGTAAAGATGGGCCAAACACTAAATGACATACACCTGAGTGACATCTTTGAATATTCAGCACTAAATGCAATGAAAGTGAAGGCAAGGATGAATAAATGGGACTGCATTAAGTTAAAGAGCTTCTGAACAGAAAAAGAAACATCACAAAAACAAGCAGACATCCCACTGACTGGGAAATATATATATATATATATATATATATATATACAAAACCAGAGATAAAGGAATGATCACAAAAGATATACATAGAACTGATGAAACTCAACAAAAATAAACAACCCCATCAAAAAATGGGCAGAAGGGCTAAAAAGACACTTCTCCAAAAAAGAAAATGCTGATGGCCAAAAAGCACATGAAAAAAAAAAAACGTTCATCACTTATAATAAGGGAGATGCAAATTAAAGCCATAATGAGATACCACCTCACTCCAGTGAGAATGGCACATCTTCAAACAACTAGCAACAAGTGTTGATGAGGATGTGGGGAAAAAGGAACACTCCTGCACTGCTGGTGGGAATGCAAGCTGATACAACTATGGAAAACTGTTTGGAGGTTCCTCAAACTACTAAATATGGAGATTCCATATGACCCAGCAATCCAGCTCCTAGGTATCTATTCAAAAGTCACAAAAACATTGATTCAAAAAGATACCTCACCCCATGTTTATTGCTGCTTTATTTACAATTGGAAAGACATGGAAACAGCCCGAATGCCCAAAAGTGAATGATTGGATTATTACTCAGCAACCAAAAAAACAAAACAAAACAAAAAAACAAAATAACACATGTCTTTTGCAGCAATATGGGTGGAGCTGGAAAAGATCATGCTTTATGAAATAAGACAGAAAAAAGAAAAGGAAAAATACCGGATGGTTTCACTCATAGCAGGAGTTTAACAGACCAGGCGAGAAAATAATAATAATAATGAACAGCTATATACCAGAGACATTTTATGTGGGTGGAGTGCAGAATGGGATCAAAAGCAGTGGGGGGAGGGAAATGCATTGGACTATGGTGATGGCACATGTGTGACTGTTGATGGGAAGCCCACAGGGGTTACAACTGAGGTGGAAAAAAATGCTTAAAATGATATAAAAATAAACTATTATATTATTAAAAAAGAAAGTATTAGAGATTAAACTATAAAATAATTTATATAATGAAAACTTTAAAAATTCTAAAAAGAAATAAAAAAAGAAACTTACATAGTGTATAGGTTGGTATGGGGTTTTATCACTGTAAATATATTAATTAGCCCCCAATTAATAATTAATACAATTCAACTAAAATCGAGGCAGTAAGTTTTAATTTTAATGGTTTATTATAAATTTAAGATTTTAAAAATGAAAATATCATTAGGAATCTTCTGAGATAATGACAATTGATGGCTATGAACTGTATAAACCACATATTTGAAAGTAATTTCAAGTAACAGTATGTAAAGTATTTTATAAAATATTAATAATTAAATTTACACAGGTACAAAATATGCTCATATAACTATAGGTTATAGTAAACTAAAAATGTTGTCAACTCAAAGTAATAGAATAAACCTAATTATAGAACTAATGATGTTAGGATCATGGATAAGTTATCTGGAGGAAGAAAATTAAAATGAAACTTTATGTTATTCTTATATCATAATAAATTCTAAATGAATCATTCATATAAACAGAATAAACCAACAACATATAATGAAATATATATTTCATTCATATTATTCAGTATAAAACAGATATTTAATAAAATAAACCCAAGGTACTTATTGTGCAGATGCAGAAAACATAAAAGACCAAAATATACATTTAATTTCATAATTATCTTTGAGTCTGTAGCAGCAATGAAATTCTTAAGGAGTCAGTAGACAGTTGATAAACTAGAAAAAAATTTTCATTACATTTGACAAAGTGGCTTATTTTTGTAAAATAAAAAAGGTTCTTTCAAATCAATTAAGTTCAATAATCAAATACAAACACAAGATTCACAGTGAATTAATATGTTTTGTAAACATATGGTACTCAAAACCTCTTGCAATTAAAAAGTAATCTAAATAACAACTGGATGTCATTTTTATTCTCTATCATATTGATCAAGATCAAAAAGTTGGATAATAATAATTTTGACAAAGTATATGAACAAGTCCCAATATAGAAATAACTGAAAATTGGAATAATATTGTGCAGTATGAGAATAATACTGAAATACTCTAGCAAATGCAAAAGGCATCAACTCTTCAACACTGTAATTATAATTTTATATCTTCATTATTATATGTACTCAAATGCACAAGATATGCATGTAAAACTATTAGATATTAGCAACTTAAATCATTTCAAAAATGGTAACATTAATTGCAATGCAATACATACTTTGAAATTATAGGCCTGTGTGAAAAAGGGATAAGGATATTTGCATAAGTTAATATTAAATAATCACCAAACAACTCGATAAAAAAGTGATGAAGCTGAGTAAATGGTAGACTTTCTTACATATTAAAAGAGATTTATTTGTTTACCAATACCTATGACTGTATTTCCATTCATATATCAATATAAGCACACACTTATGCTTTTCTCAAATAGGAGCTCTCTCTGGAGGGCAATACTGGAAACAGTTAAAAGTAATTGTCTCTAGGGAGAAAGATATGAGGTACTGCAACTTGAAGTAGAAGAAACTGTTTACACAAACTACTTTTGTACTATTTTATTTTCCTGCAAACACAATTTATTACAACTTTTCAAAAATACAAACTAATATTAAAATGATGATGATGATTTAATATATACATGTACCAAGATGTTTAAGTTTCCATAGATACAAAAAATAATTTAGGTTAATCTGTATTTTATAATTTCTTAGGGACTTTGGGAAATTGATAAGACCAGCTACCTGTCACCAAGGAGTTTATAATTTAGATAGAAAAACAAAATTCATGCATATCACATAAATATAGTCTAACATATGACATTCTCTACATAGACATAAATTTGTATAGGGCTATCAGCAAGTATAATGGAATGAAGGCAAGAACAAGTATATAACACTGCAATTTTGATTTTTAGTTTGGTAAATAAAGATGCAACTTCCTTTCCCCCATCCCCGATGTAACTAATCCATGATGACATTCTTAACCATTGA